CCCCTCCCCCTGAAAGGTAGCAATTGGTACCCCATGGCTTGCTTTTGGTTTAAAAATGTGTTATGTTCACACTGCATTTTCAAACATTTTAAACACTTACAAATCAGAAAGCTTCATAAAAGTCTGAATTTCTAGCTTTTTTTTTTTTTTAAGACAATTATCTGGAGCTGATTTTAAATGGAGCAGGTGTTCTCCACTGGCAATAATGCCTGCCACTTCTTTTCATGCTGTGCCTTTTGTCATCATTACCAGGCTTAAGCTGTTTTCTTTTAGTTAGAACTATTTCTCATCCCCTACTGAGAGGGTCTTTTAATTCAGGAAAGTCTGACAACAGGGAAATGATATCTGCATTCAAAGACTGTGACCTGGCCAGTTTTCCCTGCTAGGTCTGTGAGGCACTTGTGTTTGTGATCCGGCCCCCCTCCTCCCACAACATTCAACACTTAAGGCCCTTAATAGTGATAAACAGGGGCCAAACATTCAGTCATAGACAATGCAGGAGTCAATTATGTAGAATTAATGAGTGACTGAAACTAGCCTGTATGGAGTCCCTGAGTGCAACTCAGTGAGCTCAGTCTGTTCTGTTTCCTGATGGGGGCGGTTGCCTTCCTGGTTTAGATGTCCATGGGGAAGATTGTGGGTCCTTACTGATTCCCCTTTTGTTGGCACGATCTGGGAGATTGAACTGGCAGAATACTGGGAATGGGTGAACTCATGTTTTGTCTCCCTGTCGCTTCCCAAGTCAGGGTCACCTGCCCGTTTATCCTCCAAGTAAGAGAGTGGTAATCACCATTGCACTGTCACCCACTGCTTTGTGGCTCTCTGCCAGAAGGATTTTGAACTTCTGAATAGACCTGGGCTTGTAAAGCTCATTTAGACTTAGAGGAGAGCCCACAGGGGTTCACTGGCCAAGCAGAGCTAAGTTCTGGCATTACAGGTATCTACTTACTAATAGGAGAGGTGTTCTAATTTCCCTAAAACTTTTTTCTGGGGCAGAATGAACTGTAATTGATATTTAAACATTAATCTACTTCTTATGTGTCAGGTCGAGAGGGCATTATGCCTCATTATTCTCCTACAGAACCAGAAGTCTGCTAAATGTTAGAAAATTCTTGTACCAATTTCTTGAACATTTTCCCTTGTTCTTATATTTCTTTGAACTTTTGGAAGAGCAAACCCATCTTACTATTGACTTAATTAAAGGTTGTAGCCAATTGTCATAGAATAGTCCCATTTTTTTTCTCTGGAGAAGGTGATAAAAACATCCATAACATGGCGATTGTTAGGAGGCCCCCCCATGAGAAGTTTGATGACTGTGCGTCAGAATAATTAGCTGGGCAACTTAGGCCAGTCTACAGTGATCGTGTAGTCTCCCTAGATGTGAACTCTTCTGACTTCTGAATACACAGTAGTCCCAGATCTTTGAAGTTGGTGGTGGGGGTAGGATGAAGCAAGGATGTGGCATTCATATGTATTGTTTTTATCTGCAGAGCGTCTTGTAGTTTACATGTTAATTTCTTTAGACTTTATATAAAAACTACTGGCTAGCAGAGAAATTGCTGGTACTCTAATCTCATGGTTTTTAAAAAATACTTTAAAAAAAAGTTTCAGTTACAGTTGACATACAGTATTATATTAGTTTCAAGTGTACCACATAGGGATTTGACATTTATTTATGTAACTTAGAAGTGATCACCCCGATAAGTCTAGTACCCATCTGACACTGTACAGTTATTACAATATTATTGATTATATTCTCTATGCTGTACTTTACATCTCTGTGACTCTTTCATAACTGACAACTTGGTCTTCTTAATCTCTTCATCTTTTTCACCCATCTCCCCAATTCCTCTCCCATCTGGCAACCATCAGTTTGTTCTCTGTTACCTCCATATCTCATGGTCTTTAATGTTTTGCATATTAACCATAATTCACAATATTAAGTTATATTAGACCATAAAGAAACATATTTACTTATCTGATTAACAAAACAAGGATGTAATTATGTGGCTTTCACTTAGTTTGAAAAATTCCTCTAGGAAAGTAGAGAGGTAATATTGTCTAGTATTTAAGAGTTATTTTTCATCTGGCTTAAAATTAACGTGGTAACTTCATTTAGAGGCTTACTCTTTAGTTAGGTTTTAAAAGTGGATATTCTGTAACTTTTTTTTTTTGTTTGTTTTCAGGCTTGATCTTACAAAGAAAGAGTATAAAAAGCTTTTTCAATCTCTTAATGGGTAAGTTGCTAGCATTGGCTTGATATAGTATATACAGTATATGTCTATACAGTCGGCTTTTGAAAAAAATTAGGTACAATATTCTGTTTTTATGTAACTGTCATATAATGTTGTAACATTAGTTTTCTGTGTTCTTTTATAGGAATTATTTTGTTGAGAGATATAAAAGCCCTGTAGAGAAGGCAGATTAAGAAATAAATGTTACACTGTAGACATATATAATTTTTTTTTAATGTGTAACATATTCTGTTTTCTTTTAATGAATGTCTTAAATGTTTTGAAGCCACTTTGAATGTCATGGTATATGCTTGGTTAGGGGATTTATAAGTCCTAGGATTCAAGATATTAATTGGTTCTCTTTTCAGAAAGTAATTTGAATAGAACTTAGTTAAAATTATCTCTTCTCTGGCATCACCACAAAAGATATGATTGCTTAGCTCAAAGGAGAGAACTTTTAATCATATGAAAAAATGTTCAACATTACTTATAATTAAAAGAAAGCTCATTATAGCAATTAAAAAACATATTTTAGCTGTCAAGTTGGCAAAGATCAGAAAATTTGCTAACACTCTATGATGAGGAAACAAGTATTCTCTATTTATGAGAGTGTAAGTTACATAGTCTTTTGAGGGGTAGTTTTGCAATATCTATTGACATTTAAAATACACATATCTTTGACTCAGAAAATCCTTTGCAAGGAATTTTATTTTATAAATATGTAACCCCCTATGTGAAGACTTAGGCCCAAACATATGCATTGTAGTATTGTTTGAAATACCCGGAATTTAACAGCCACCCATGAGTCTATCAGTTGGGAATTGGGTAAATAGACCATCTGCATATGATAGAACATTATGCATAAGTTGAAAATGAGCATATCTGTAGATGTTGCTTTGGATCACTATTGGTACTTGAACAGTGTGATATTGTTATACAGAAAAAAAGCAAGGTACATAATGATGTGTATAGAATAGTCCCATTTACTTTGGTTTTTAAGGTAGGGTGAGCAGATATGCATTATAACATTGCTGTCAGGTCAACACAACAGATTTTACTGGTGGTTGTTTCTGATTAGGAGTGGGGTGAAGGAACTCTATTTTACTATAAAGCTTTTATAAAAAGAGCTTTTTAAAAACTTTTTACAGCTGTGTTCATTTATTACAATTTTTTAAAAAGGCTGTGTTCAAATTAAGGAGCCCTGGGATGCAGTTGACCCCGTAAGGTTTTGTGGCGGTGCACAGAAGTGAAAAGGCGGAGCCTGGCTTTAAAGGGGTTTGCCAAGTAGGAGGGAAGTCAAGTTTTACTTTATGAAAGGACTTTGAGGTTAAACATACCAAATTTGATCAGAGGCAGCTTTTAAAATAGTGAATCAATGAAAAGGGAGGACCGCTAATGAGTCTTCACTAAGCTGCTTTTAATTGTAGGGTTTTCTGTACAGTTTTGTGGCAGATGTTCTACCTTACAGTTTAAGTTTTATTCTAGACTGTGATCTTACTAATAGCAAAAATTATTCCTCTGGCTCTCCAAGCTAGTACTGAGCCTGGCTCTTATAAGAAGCAGAATATATTTGTTGAATGAACAACAACCTTAAAAGTGATATTTCATATATCTCATATTTTAAGTATTTTCAAAAATTTAATACATTTAACTTTTATAATATCTTTTGAATATCCTTATTTATTTCAAGGCCTGTTATAATGTTTAAGATTTAAAGTTAATTTAAAAGGTTGGTGTAAAAACATAGTAAATATTTTTCTATATCTCACCTTTATGAGTAGAATAAAATAAAATCAAACATTCACGATTCCTCCTTTATGCTTGTGATTGTGTTCTTTTTCAAAATTTTATTCTGAACTTTTTCAAAGCTCTATTTCTGAAGAAATCTCAGGGTGATAATAAAGAACTGATTTTCACAGATATTTAATTCTAGCCTATATATATTTCTATGACCCATTTGTTCCTTATGTTTAAAAAAGAAATTCTTGGTGAGTCAAAACCAATTCATGATTATAGACATACAATTGGTTTTGGCTCAGCGTAATTTAGATTTAACTTGGAATTTTATCTCTATTTGATTGCTAGCTCTGTGTACTCTCTTCCTCTACTCCATTACTTACCTATAATTTATCTGTACTGAATTTCAAAAATAAACTTGTTTATCAAAGAGGTTTTGGAAGAATATGCGCAAACGTATTCGTAACTGCAATAATTTGTGAATGGGTAGGATTGTAAATATTTCATGTTTTCTTTCTGCCTTAATTTTCTCATTTTCTGTAATGGTCTTACAGCTTATATAATAAGGAAAAAGTTGTCTTAAAAAGATTGTTTTCTGTAGAGGAGGGGTTGAAAGCACCCATTTGGTATTGTTTCAGGGTTCTTTTCCCTGGAGGGAGCGTTAACCTCAAGAGGTCAGGCTATGCCCACGTGGCTAAAATATTTTACAACTTTGCCAGACAGGTGAGTATCAGTTGTTCCTTATTATTCCACATGGGCATTTGTAATTTTCCGTGAGGGTGATTCTTTTTTCAAGCATATGGTAATACTTCCTTTACTACCCTAGCCTCATTGCCCCTTTACCTTTTGAAGCACCTGCTTGGGAGTGGCCAGTGGTGGCTCTCACCCATATTCTAAGTGCTTCCTCTCATTCTGGGATCCAGGGAACCTTCAGAGCCTGCTGACTGGCCCTCTCTATTCGTGCTCACTAACATGAACCAGGTCCTCATGGTAGGTTAGTGAGCTGTTTTTATTATGTAGTAGGCATTGTCCACATGTTATTATTAATTGTCATTTCCTCTTGAAAGCTGCTCTTTGTCTCGACTCATTTCATCCTCCTCAATATTTCTTCACAGTTACCTTAATTTACTTCATGTTCGGTTACCAACGAGAACCTCTTGACCCCTTTGTAATGTCTCGCCTTGGGCCTTCCTTTGCACCATCTCAGACCTTTTACTGTTCTTCCCCTGAACTATTAACAGCAATTATCTAATTAATCTTGCTGGATCTAGTATCTCCCCCCACCCCAGATGTTTCCCTAAAGATCTACTTTTGGCATATGAGATACTTTTTGGAAAACTTTCAGTGGCTGGGATAGATAGCCTATAATCCTTTATAGTCTTTGGGTGAAGACATGTAGCATGTTCATGAACCACCTTTCTCAGCCTTTCCTGATGCAAGTAATTGAAGCCAGGGTGGTATTAACGGCACATACTCTGTCTTCCTTTTAAATCCGTTTAGTCTTTCTTTCTATTCCATCTCAATTTGTATCTTAGCCATCTTTCAAGGCTAAGGTTCTATTCTTCTGCAAGGGTTTCTCAGCCTCCAGCTGCGATAGTGTCCCACTCCCTCTTAACTTTTAGAGTATTTTGTTGTAGAATTTTTGAAACATTTATTTAGTTCCAACTCTGTAATATGACAGGCTCTGTGACCTTAACAGGTTTATATTTTGGAAGGCAGAGTATCTTGAAGTTAGCTGTTCATGTCTCATCAGGTTCCATGGTTCTGACAACTTTTAGAAGTGTTCCGCATTTCAGATTGTATGGTTCTGTGTTCTTAGTATATGCTCAGTGGTTATTCTTTCAAAAACTAGTGAACAAAATTGAAATTTTACAATGTGAATGTTTTAAGATGCATTTGGGAAATATATTTAAACATTATCAATTAGTCATTCTTCTTTTTCTGTCTGGAGATTCTTATGACTAACTTGCTCAATTGAAAAAAAAAGGAACTCAAAGATCTGTTTAAAAAAACAAAACAAAATAATCAGCTACTTGGAAGATTTCAAAACAAAGGAAGAAGGCTTAGCAATCTTGAACTTCTCATTATCTATAGCCACTGGGTCCACCGAGCCCTCATGGAAGAAGGCCTGGGAAATGACCAGTCACCAGTCCGTTAGATCCATCTAGTTTCCCTCTGTGTCTTGCTCTGATAGACTGTGTGGAGCATCACAGCAAATAACAGATGTGGTCCTAGCAAGTGGAGACTTAACATTTAGTTGAGAAATTATATTTGGTAACATATGGAAATAGAACATTTAAACCTTCTTTTGTGTTTATCATAAATGCAGTAAGACCCTTCAACTTAATGCATGAAATTCTATCTTCTAAAAATAAAACTTGCCGGACCAGTATATAAAGTATTAAAATCCTACCTTGGAATAGAAAATATAAGTATTAATGTAACTGTATGTTTTTCTCTGTGAGAAACAGAAACACCCTCACCCCCCAACAATTTCCTCATTTAAAATGGGTTACTGTTAGGTTATACTTTATAGTCTGTGCAAAACAAAACAAAAACTGCTGTTTTTAGAAAAGTTGCAAAACTTATTTCTTATAACTATCAGTGCTTACGGGTTTAATCCTCAGTTAACCAGAAATCTCAGTTGCTAGAATACTTTTACTACCTTCGAAGAAACCCAGTACATTTGCACTTTTTTAGTTGACAATTTATACTCTATGAAAATCTATTTTGCTTTTGCTTAGCCTTTTCCTTACTGACTGTTCCTTTCCTTCCAGATCATGGCTTTCACCTGATTTAAATCTGATTAGCTGAAGGTGGTATAATCCAGCTATTAGTATAAATTCTGAGATAATGGAGGAAGGAGTGTTTTCAAAACCACAGTCATCCAAAGTGACAAGATTTATAGAAGATATAAAAATAGGCATTTATCTAGCATTGTCTTTGGTATTTGTAACATCATGTTGTTTGGTAGTTGACTGGCAGATGTCAGTCTCTTTCTCAGTACAACTGAGGTTGGATAGTTGGGTTGATTAAAACCGAATTATTGGATGGGAACTTGGTCTGAAGAGATTAAGTGATAGCTTACTGGAAAATGTTCAGAAATTCAGGCATAACTCAGGCACCTGCTTTGTAATGATAAACCAAATGTATAAATTTCGTTTTGAAAAGTTTAAATAAGCTTCGTTTTCTCTTTCAAAGAGTTATGATGATGGAGACTATTTTCCTGTGTGGGGCACATGCCTTGGATTCGAAGAGCTTTCATATTTGGTTAGTGGAGAGTACTTATTATCTCAGACAAACACTACTAAAATCACAATGCCATTGAACTTCACGGAAGGTAAGAATTCTCTTTCGACCCTTTTAAAAATATTAACTGGTAGGATTAGTAAGTAGCAAATATCAAAGTAAAAAATGCTTATAACATTTATTAATTTTTAAATTTTTTACGCAGACTGAAAATGTAATCACTTTTGTACTCAAGTTATGAAGATAGCTTAAGAAATTTTGAATTTTGATAATTGGTTCTTCTAGTGGTATGAGGACCATGCATGATTAAGAACTCTAGAATCAGACCTGGTTTTGAATCCTAGCTTTGTCCCTTTGCTTTGGGAATAATTTAACCTCTCTTTCAAGTTTAATTTCCTGATTTGTAAAAGTATTTACCTTGTAGGATTGCTTATGAGGATTAAATAAGATTATGTTTTCCAGGTACAGTGCTAAGCACACGACTGTCATAGGTGTTAGCTATTATTATTACAGTGCACTTTTCCCTTGGCTGTGTGCTCTGGTTCAGCCCCAGCTGGAGCGTACTGCAGTTCCTTTCTGGCACTAACCAGCTGGAGTTAGTGCAGACTCCACAGTTAAAGGGTGTCTCCCCAGCTAGACTGCCCTTATTTTAGACACTGCCCTCAATTCATGTCCTCAGGCCAGCCATACTTCTGACCACCTGGCCACAAATATGGGGAGTCCCAGGAAGCCTTTTAGGTCATTCTATAATTCACTAGAATGACCCACAGAACTCAGGAAAGCGCCATGTTTACAATGACAGTTTCATTACAAAGGATACACACATAGGATGAGGTATCAGGGAGAGTAGGGTGGGGGGATGTGGAGCTTCCATGCCCTCTACCTGCTGAGTCAGGGCACGTCACCCTCCCGACACATCAGTATGTTCACCAGCCGGCAGTCTCCAGTGAGCTTCAGTGTCCAGAGTTTTTATTGGAGTTTCATTGTGAAGGCATGCTTGGTCAAATCATTGGCTCTGTGATTGAACTCAGTTTCTGGTCCCCTTCCCAACCCTGAAGGTTGACCTGACTCAAAGCCTGAATCTACTCTAATCCTGTGGTTAGTCTTTCTCATGACCAGCCTCACTCTGAAGCTATCTAAGGGTCCACCATGAGTCACCTCATTAGCATTACAGAGACACTCCTATCATTCAGGAAATTCCAAAAGTTTTAGAAGCTCCCTGTCAGGAACCCAGGACAAAAACCAGACAAGTTTTTATTATGCTATTCTGTATAAATAGATATGATTCTTGTAGATTACATGCTCTCTAAATCCTCAGAATTGAATGCTACCAACTATTCCTGTTCTCATAAGGATTTTGGATGGAAAGTAATAATAGTTATACATAAAGCCCGTAGAATGCTCTATACTCCTTAAAGGTCTTTCTCATATTATCTCAATCATTGCAAGAACCCTTTGGGAAGTATATATATTAGGTCAGTCAATTTTGGTTGTATGTGGTTAAAACCTAGTTTATACAAAAAAGGAATGAAGCCCACTGAAGTGAGGTACTTACTTTCCTTATCTGAGGCACGGGTATTCTGATGGAAGCCATTAACATCTTCAGTGAGAGGCCTTGTTTGGGGATAGCTGGCTTCATGGCTGGGAACACCTATTGGGAATTTTTTATCCCTTTGCTGGTATTTGAGTCTATGTGTTGGACTCCAGATCCCTCAGTGAGGTATATTGCTTTTTTAGATCTATTTACTGAGTAAAAATTTCTTGGCCTGGTTGATGTTCTTTTTTTAGATTGTTGGTATTATTAACCTTTTAAGTCCCATACACCTTTGAAAATACGTTGAAAGTTTTGGATTCTTTCTTTGGAAAACATACATACACGTGTGGAAAGTTTTACCTGTTTTTCAGTGACATCTAGAGAATGCAAGATTCTCTTGCTTAACTCTGGGGCTAGCCTGCTATTTATCATATCAGAAGAATTTTAGTTATGTTAAAATTCTAGAAGAAAAGTATTTAAATACGGAGCATATTTGAATTTGTATGATAAACTCATTTATGCTTGACCAGGAATATTTCTGTGGAAATGATGGGTTTTGCTTAGTGATCTTGATTGTCTTAATAATGGCCTCTCTTTGGCTATCGATCAGTGACTTCAGTGGATTTTATTTTTTGTGTGTGTTTAAATTATTTAAGGT